AGCTTGATAGGGGAATACCGTCTATCTACGATAGTGGAATGCCTCATATGTAAGAAGAAGAGTGCAAGAGGAGAATAAGAAAGAAACAATCTCCTTTTACACAAGAGAGGGGCGCTAAAGCTCGATAGGAGAATTTCGCCTATCACCAACAGTGGAATGCCTCCAATGTAAGAAGAAGACTTGAGGAGAAGAAAATGAACGAATCCAAAAAATTCTAACTTCTACGCACGGAGAGGGGCCCTGAATTTTTGTAGGGGATGCCGCCTACAACAAAAAGGAGAATGCCTCAATTGCTAGAAAGTTAGAACGAAGAAGAAAAAAAAAAGAGAAATTTCACACTTCTGTACAAGAGGATGGGCGCTAAATTGAGTAGGGAAATTCACCTACTCAAAAACAGCGGAAAACCTCAACTGTCAGAAAGCCAGAAGAAGAAATAAGAGAAATTTCTAACTTATGTACAAGAGGAGGGGCACTAAATTGAGTATGGAAAATCACCTACTCAAAAATAGCGAAAAACCTCAACTGCCAGAAAGCCAGAAGAAAAAAGAAGAGAAATTTCTAACTTCTGTACAAGAGGAGGGGCGCTAAATTGAGTAGGGAAAATCACCTTCTCAAAAACAGCGGAAAGCCTCAACTTCCAGAAAGCCATAATAAGAAAGAAGAGGAGAATTCTAACTTCTGTACAAGAGGAGGGGTGCCAAATCAAGTAGAGAAAGTCACATACTGAAAAATAGCGGAAAGCCTCAACTGTTAGAAAGAAAGAAGGAGAAAAGGAGAAGGTGCAAGTTTCCCTTTGGCCCTAGGGGCGTATTTATAGTGTTTTTGGAGGAAAAAGAGAAGCCTATGGAAGTTTCCAGAATTAAAAAAAAAATTGAATTTTTCTGATTTTTTTTCGAAATTTTTAGGATTTTTTTTTGGATTTTTTTAGATTTTTTTTGGTTAAAAAATTTCCACGTGGGCCCTGCAAAAAAATGCCCATAACCGCGCGGTCACGTGCGGGACGCGTCTATTAGCCAACTGATATGTCATCATAGAATTATCTTGATCAAGCACGAATCTCGGCGCAAAAATCAAGTTGGAAACTTCAAAAATTAATTTTGGGATCATACAAATTCCGATTTCAGCAAACTTACTATCGAACTGATCATCTCGGAAATACAAACCCAACGACACCAAAATCGACTCAATCTGAGACCAAATAAGTCCAAATCAAGGACCCGAAGCACTATTAGAAGGTTCAAACCACAATTTGAGTTACCAAATGGTTTCCAAACATAACGCACTTATAGTCGAATTGAGCGGCTCGACGAGACGAATCCAACGAGCCCAAGATTGCTGAATTCCAACATCATTAAAATCTTCAAATGTCTGATGAACAGTGCATGATCATGGGATTCAATATCAACCGTCCATTCGACCACTCCCTATTTGCCCCTGATCTCACACCTATTTACAAGCTATGCCACTCCAAAAAATTTATAAATAGATCCCTTATTTCTCATGAGGGGGGACCAAAGCAAGAAGAAGCAAGAACAAGGGGCGAAGCAAAAAGGAGGATAATAAGAAGAAAAGAATAGGAGGGAAGAGACTCCTCCTCGTCCGCCACCAGAGTTCCACCCGACCTCCAAATGACGCCGGAATTCTGTCGGACTTCCATGGGATGCCACAATTCTGCCCAACTTCCACGGGATGTTGAAATTCTTCCCAACTAATGACAAAGTTCCCTCCTGACGCTGAAACTCTGCCCAAGTGATGTCGGAGTTCTCCTCGGCCACCAACAGACGTCGGACTTCTACATGACGCCGGACCTTCACTCTTCGCCAAATTTCTACTCGACGCCGGACTTCTACCGGTTATCGAACTTTTGCTGGACGTTTATCCTAAGATGAATTTCTTTTCATTGTTAGGCTTCTACCTGACGCCATTCTTCTGACCTTCATCGTTAGACACAGTCCTTTCAACCTCCGTCGCCAGCCGACTACGGTCCTCCTGACTTACATCGCTCGCCGACCACAGTCTTTTCGACCTCCGTCGCCTGCCGACTATGGTCCTCCTAACTTACATCGCCCGCCAACTACAGTCTTTCCGACCTCCGTCGCCCGCCGACTACGATCCTCCTGACTTACGCCGCCTGCCAACTACAGTCCTTCAGACCTCTGTCGCCAGTCGACTACGGTCCTTCTGACTTACATCGCCCATCGACTATAGTACTTCCAACCTCCATCGCTAGCCGACTGCGGTCCTCCTGACTTACGTCGCCCACTGACTATGGTCCTTCCGACCAAGCGAATACGTCAACAATGATTCTTTGTATTCCCAACATTTAATGTATTTCATATAATATACTTCAAGCCCAGGCCTTCTCCCAAGGAAGGGCCTCATTTGTAATCAACTGAAATACTAGTGGATTCATTTGAACTGGGCGAGGCCCCGTGGTTTTTCCCCCTTTTTTAGGGGTTTCCACGTAAAAATCTTGGTGTCTCATAAATGCCAGCTCCTCTCTCTTATTTGATTGGGTGCCGAATTTTGGTATAATGCTAAGACATTAAACTTTATATTTCTCTACCGCCGCGAATACTCCTGGATGCAATTGTTTGTGGTGGAGATGCAGGGTATTTTTTAGGGGCCTCTAGAGCAAGAAGAAAAACAGGAGGGAAAGAGGACAAAATTGTAACTTTTGTACAAGAGGAGGGGCACCGAATTAAGTAGGCAAAGTCACCTTCTAAAAAACAGCGGAAAGCATCAACTTTCAGAGAGAAAGAAGGAGAAAAGAAGAAGGTGCAAGTTTCCCCTTGCCTTGGGGGGTATTTATAGTGTTTTTAGAGGAAAAGAGCAACTTATGAAAGTTTCCAGAATTTAAAAAAATATATATAGAATTATTCAGAATTTTTTTCGAACTTTTTTCTAATTTTTTGGGATTTTTTCGGAATTTTTTGATTAAAAGTAGCCATGTGGGCCCCACAAAATTCAAAAAAAAAAAAAAAAAAAATCAAACCGCTGGCCTTAACCGCACGGTCCAGCGGCGGCGGCTGTCGGCGGCCGGCCGGCCGGCCTACCGGTTCGGCTGCCTAATCTTGTCCGGGCCCGATTTTCAGCTTGGACGGTCCAAATTGGACGTTTTTAGGGTCCACGGACACGTTTTTCAACGTTTCGGACTCAATTTTGACACTTTGGGAGCTCAACGGGGCCTCTATGAGCAAGTTTGTAGAAGTGTTCAACTTTTAGAATGCAATTTTTTTGCGATTCGGCCAATGTAAAATTTTGGAGTAAGTATTTTTAGACTTCTAGAGCTTCAACGTCTGAAAATAGGGGGGCAACTGATACGTTATGCAAAAATTATCTTGATCGAGCACGAATCTCGAGGCAAAAATCAAGTTGGAAACTTCAAAAATTAAATATGGGATCATTTGAACTCCGATTTTAGCAAACTTACAGTCGAACTAATCTTCTCGGAAATACGAACCCAACGACACCAAATTCAACTCAATCTGAG